TTAGTTTAATAAGGGAACGGAATATCGACGTAAATATTGTAACTATCAATGCACAATATATTAATATAAAAGCCTATAATAATAATAACATTATGTTTTAATGTCATATACCTACAATTTTGTTTGCACGCGTAAACGAGTAATAATTTATAGTCGAGCTGTAACTAAATCTTTTACAATGTCACGATAGGTCGTCTCCAATACCACGGGTGAATGTGTTTCGATAACAAAATTATATTACGATTACACGGCGTGATGGATAGGCTATTTCGGTGCACCACGGTCGGAGTGTCCGTTTTCCGGTATCTATCCATTCATGAGTCCGTAATATTATTTTAATATGGGCCGCCGCCGCCGCCAACCATTACGTTAACTTTTAAGCGTCTAACATGAAATAAATTATCAAACTATATAATATAGTTTACCTACGTGAGTACAACAAGAGTGTAAATTACAAGTCATAACGGTTCCGATTTTCCGACGCCTTTAAAAAAAATTATGTTTATTTAATTTTGTCTTTTATTTGCCGCAGACGACGAAGAAGTCCTAAACTGGCCGTATACAAATCAAATTTTAATATCCCAGAATGTAGAGCAATACACATGGTGCACGTGGTATAAAATTCTCTTACGGAATCTGATGATGTTAAAACTGTAAAACCTTAATTTATTGTAATTTAATGGCATATAGTATAATATTATATACCATATACCATCATGCGCAGTGAACAGTATTCTGTTTTAGTCCAACAAAGCGATTATTTCATCGTGAATCATGGATTATCGTAGAAAATAAAAATAATATTTTAAACATTAATAACAAAATAATGAGTTCTGACATAAATATTATATAATCATAATACATTTTATTAAAAAAAAAAAGAAGGTTTAAAAAAAAATGTGATTCCCGAGGCCTGCAGTGTGGCTGGCTCACGATAAAAGTATCACTCTGTATATTATTATTACAATATCGGTTCGGCACGAAATCTGATCGATTTTATGGCACAATATTATTATAAAACCACAAACACGCTCGGCACCGTTATTAATATTTCCACTAAAAACACACACACACCAAATCATCTGTGTTTCTCTCATATTATATCGAGTACTCTGCACCTAGCGTATACTGTATATGGACGAATTTATTTGGCGCCAGCGCAGCTACACGATATAAGCACATCCGCCGGAGATGAAAGCGTCTCGGCTGGGAGGAAGGGGGTTACCGAATTTGTTTTCGTATTTTTTATTTTAATATTATATTGTACCTATATATATTTTTAGCGACACGGCGTAAAAACGCAAACACGCCTACACGCCCGAATAACGTGTTTGTTTAACGTAATAGGTATACCCTTGCTACACACGTAGAGGCATACACTGCGATATTGTCTATGCTCATGTGCGTACGACCGTTCACGAGCATATTATAATATATATATTTATATTATATATGTGTATGATGGTACGTATAATATTATATTGTGACGGTGAGCGTGTACACGAATATATGAAAAACGTACAGCGGAGGCAACGTTTACGTCCAAGCCCGCAAATATAAATCGTCGACACGTGTATTCGCCATAGTGTTTTTTTATTCCGTTTTTTATTTCCGAATTTTTGTTATTTTTCCCACCATCGTCGGCCGCTGTTCCCGCCGTTTCTCTTTTTGAATATCATTATACTACACGCCGTTTGCCTCACGTGAACCACATCCTCCCCACCCATCGCTCCAGTGGATCGATCGGCGAGGATCCTTCGGACAAATCCCGAACGCGGTCGCTGCTCTCGTCGAGTCCCAAAAATCGAGTAAGTACACCGCACGAAGAAGATGATGATAATTATAATAATATATACGAGTCACCGTGTAGTGAGCGAGAGCACGTTTCGGCGAACGAGAAGACGAAGAAGAAAACACTATCGTTGATGACGAGGAAAAACAGCACCGGAACGAGAACGCGGAAATCCTCGGGTAAATATTTTGTGTGGGACGCCACCACATAATGTCCGATGAAAATAATAATAAATACAAGAGTTATTATTATATTATTTAACATTATCATTAACATACTACTACACTCAAGCTACGAGGCCGGCGAACGAGTTTAAATGCTAATCGCGTTTTCACTCTCACGCACACAGGCACGAGTGTACCTATAAATAATATTTATACGTATGCCAATGTGTTGAGCCTCTGCAAGTTTTGCAATTAACCGGACAGACATCACAGCGCGAACTGTAACTCTACACCCATCATCACGACGACACCACTCCCAGGTTATCGAACGACTGTGAACGTTATACTCTTTTTTCGCAGAACGATTGAGAACAAAGTGGATAAAAGCAAAAAAATATGTTCGCCATATTTTCTTTATCGTACTCACGCTTGCCACCAGCAAAGTGGCAAATTCGCACGACGATCGGAGACATTGGAATTTAATAACCTGAATTGTTTTCACCATCCCTGGCTAACTTGTGCATTTATCCAGGATATTATTTTCAAAGGTAAAATATAATATAGGAAATTGTTATCCCACAGATTAAAATATGTGAAAATAATAATTATTACCCCAGGGTGAAAATATACCCTTTCCCGAAAGATGTAAAATTACCCGATGAACTCTTTCAATGTATAAAATTCCTTTTATTTACCTATTTTATCTTAGTTAAATATGATCCGTCAAATGGCTCCTTCACCGTCTACCTAAATACCTCTTACTCGACGTGGCATTCAATAACAATACTAGTGCCTCTCATCTACTAAGCAAATTACATCACTCCTTTTCTCAATATTCAGTGTTCGGAATATCTATAAAAAAAATATTTTAAACATCTCTAGATACCATATTTACGATACTAAATTCATTCCTCCGAAATCGTGTTACGCTGTACGAATGTTACAATATCACTTAAACTTGATTAACTTATGGGCTAATCTTATAAAATATTAAAATCAAGATAAAAAAAACCGTTACAAAATCCGCTGGAAATAACTACGGTATCCCCGACCATAATGTAAATAATCAAGTGCTACCAACTGAAAATTTAGCAAACTATTCTAGACAACTAAGGGCCAACCTACCAAACCAAGTTAAAAATATAAAACTCTTAATTGAACCTACTATATCACTACTATTTGATAAACATTATCTGTATCATGTGAACTTATAACATGTAATTCAACAATACAACTGGTTTTTACTTGTAGAACATTCAGCTATGCATAGATAATGCAAGAAACTTCAATTTCAAAGTCTTCATATAACAACTTATTTAATAATATCTATTTACCTACAATACTAGTTGAGACAAAATACAGGAAGAAGGACTCTATATAGTCATCCGAGCTATCATAGCAACGCGTTTATAAAACAGTTAACCTAATTCTCACCTCTTGGGGTAGATTGCAGAATAACTAAAATAAATTGGCCAACAGATTTACTCAAATATTAAATAATAATTCCCTTGTGTTAGTGTATTTTCGAGTAACTTTTCACTAACCATTGTAAACATGATGTTTCTTAATAATTCAACATACGTTATCAAAATTACTGATTTTATATTTGCAAAGACTGTAAACAAATATAATAAACAATACTTCAAAGAAAAAAAATTATCTTCAGTACCTGAGAAAAAAAAAATATTATATTATGTTGAGTAGGTAACAGTAACTGGGAGAGAACATATCACATGTTATTATATCGTTACTAAAACCAAGTAAACCTATTCTAAACTAAGTTCTGTGACGTGCCATTATATAATTATTATTTCATTTTTTTGTCCATTCATATCACAGTAGGTGAAATGTAGGTACAAGAAGAGTGCTCTAAACGTTTTTCCATTTTATGCGGTATCAGCTACAATAACTGCACGCTGACAGCTGATATAGAGTATATAATATTTAGTTTTAGTTTGTTTCTTATATCCTAGTCGAAAAATTCATTAACTGACCGCAGTATCAGTAACTAGTTACAACAATGGTTTCCAACGGGAAATAAAAACATATAATCAGTAATCACTTATCGTGTGTATAGGTATCCTACTCATCTTGGTACTGGGAAATGTATTTTTGGGATCAGTCACGTCATTTGAAAGTGGTTCGAACATTTGAACTCAATTTCTCAGAATCTCATTCAACGTTCAAAGATAATGTCAGGTTCAAAATAATATGTGATTGCAGAGAATACGAAATTAAATTTACGAACGTATTTATCTAGAAATAAACGTTTTGACATAATATGTTAATTTCCACAGAGATGGAAGTAAGGGATCGTCACTATCAGCTGATAATAACGGGAATACGCATAATTTTACTTTAATGGTACGGATCGTCAAAGTTATATGTATCAATATGAACCAACAACCCAGCGTTGGATTTTGATTTTAACACTGTCTGAAAGACACTGAAGCTTGATTATGACAGAAAGGAACAAACGGAAAAGAAACATCCAATACTCTAACTTAGTATTTCTGAACGACGTAGGTACCTACTCTAACCAGTAATAATTCAGTACTTTTCAGTTTTTCTAAATATAGCAATATCAGTAATATTTCATAATGCATGATATACATAATTATTTTCGATTAATGCGTGGCCGGTGTAAAAGTTAATTTTTCCGGTTGAAGCGCCTTTCATGTTTTTCCAGTACCTATAACGCACTCGAAAAAACTAAACCCAACCTAACCACTGATATGCTATGCGTTGTTTTTTTATGGTGATAATATTAAGTTTGTGTTTTTATGTATGTGTGGTAAGCCGGTAATCAAATAAATAAATGTTCGCGGTTGCGGTCATCGACAATGATCAGCTGGTGTGCGCTTGGTATCCAGGCACCGAGACTTGATGAATCTCCGAGGTTTTTTTTTCTCGGTCAGCCAAACAACAACACCGCTACTACGTCATTTTCGCCATACATGTTGTTATTATTATTATGATTATTATTATTTCGCGTGGCGCGATAACGTCGTCACATCGCAGCAAGCCGTCTGTTTCGGACAGTCATGAACCGGAAACGTTTTTACCGGAACCGCTATCGTAGTCACCCTTTCCCGACGCTGTTGACCACCGCCACCGCTACAATCGTCGCCGCCGTTATCGCGTTGGCTGTACTGTCGCCGACGGTTTACAGCAGAGTTTACCCGCCGCCGCACAAGTTGTCGTCTTGGGCAACCGTCGTGCCTCGACAAACTGCTGAAGTATCACGGCACTTCCGGTCGACAAAGACACACATCATCACAGCCACAGAGAGTGAATATAGCCAATTCACGACCACGAGGCACCATAGAAGACGGCACCAAGTCGCCAGACTAATAGGTTCTTACCCATCACAATATTATGTACTTACTTTAGATTACAGAGGTACATCAGAGGTTCCCAAACTCTTTACAGTACGACCCATTTTGGGAAATATTTAAATTTTAGAGACCCAAAATATACTAATGGCCTTTTTTTTTTTTTACATTATTGATCGCTATCTTTGCTGTAACTTTAAGTCTGACAGCATCGCAGTGATACGTCTTGCAATCGTTGTAGATAATGATCAATAATAAAACTATATTTGAATATCAATATAAAATAATATAGTTACACAGAAAAAAACTTTAAAAACTGTTTTGTATTTATTTTAATTTATAATAGTATTTATACATAACATATAAATGTGTTATTTTAGATATACATTATATTATAGTTATCTAGTATTAAATAATTTTCATTATAAAAATCTTCATTTTAAATCTTTTAAATCTTGACGTGACCTATCCAAAATATGATCTTGTCCCACAGTTTAGGAACATCTATCTTATATTATAAGCTATAAAATATTATAACACAACGTTCATCACTGCTAAGTTTCAGTCGTTGCTGCAACTGGGGTTTTCTTCAAATTACTGTGCAATGTTTTATCGACCCAGATTCACCATCCCACTGTATGATAATAATATTATTATAGATACGAGGTTAAAACAATATGAGGCTATCGTCATCGTTTCGTACCAAGTATAAGTACAATGTAGTAATGATTATTCAACTTTTTTTTGAAGGAGAAATAATATTTTTTGATTTTATTTAAGTACTTTAACGTTAAATTGTTTTATTTTCTCATTATATTAAATTTATGTCAAAAGGTTATGACACAGAAATTGCTTGTTATTTTAAAACTCAAAACTATAGGGGTTATTAATTATTTAAAATTAAAATTGGAAATTTATATTACCTATTTAATAACAATTATTAGTAACTTTTCAATTATTAGAAATCATATAATATTTTATATCTACATTAAGTATTAAACGCTATATATTTATATTAGTAGGTAGTATTCTCGTTAAACATAATATGATGGAATCCTCCGAGAGAACATGAATTTTCTTAATTATTTCATAGTAGCAGTTGAGTAACGTGTAATGTAGCAATTTTTCTCAAATATACTCAGATAATTGTTGCATATTTTTAGTGAAATTAATTAATAATTAAGGGTCTCAGTAGGAATATCTATATATAGTTGTATATAGGTAGTTTATAAGTACTACATATTTCCATGTGTTATGTAAACCCACAAAACTAATACCAGAATTTCACTTCTCGCCACAGGTGAAACCGTTACAGTTGGTCAGGCAGGAAACAATACGTCAAACCATACCCGTTGCTACAAGATAAAATTCACCACGGCTATACCGACTACCAAACGTTGGTCACCGATACTAAAAACGTACCCCAATTTTCCGGCGATGAATTCCACGGTGACCAAAGTTACCACGGCCAAAAACACCAAGGTAACCAAGATAACCAAAGCTTCATCGACAACTGAAGCTACTTCCGAACCTACTGAAGAAATCCAAGAGACCGAAGAAGCTACAACTACTGAACAAACCAGCTCCAGCGAAGAAACTATATGTACAGAAGAAACTGCGCCTACAGAAGAAAATTCCAGTTCCGAAGAAACGACCTGTGCAGAAGAAGAAACGACTACAAAGGTCGAAGAAACTACTCCAAAGAAAAACTCAAAAAAGACAACCGATGAATCGCCAAAAACCGAAAAAGCTAGTAAGACGACTGTAATTTCTACGGAAAAAACGAGCAAAACTACCGGAAAACCTAGTAGGACGACTGGAAAATTGACCAAGGCGACCAAAAAAGTTATCAAGACAACCGAAGCATACGATGAGGTAGTGACGTGCTCCGAAGACCCCTCGTGTGACGAAGAGCCTTCGTGCCTCGACGAAGAAGTGAAGACGCCAAAACCGGCAAGGACGAAGCCTCCACCGGTTAAGAAATCGACGCCAGTAATAAAAACAAAAAATCGGTCAAAGATGAAACGAATCGATCGTAAGAGACAGTCACCGACAACCATGAATCATCAGTCGTCGTCATCATCGCCGTCGCCTTCGTCGGCTACAATCGCATTAGACGATTCGTTGAGGTCCGACGATGGACTTAACTATGAATGGCGGTGATCGGACCTGATCGAGGAGAGTAAATCGCAGTCTCCACCGATGGATCAAAATTGCGTACATTGCTGGACCGCGACGGTATCGGTTTGGCGACCATTCGATCGATCAAGGTCCTCGACACGTCAGCTGCACACAGTCTTACAGTTATAGTTTTATTATCTAAATGTATATTTTATAATATTATAAGCCCACGTGAGGTCACTGTTGTTCATGTCCCGCCGATGTTCAAAAATGTCGTACTAAATTAATTTTGTCCGATAACGGTTTTTTTCTCTTTGTTACAAATATCAAATGATCTTCAACTGTATTTTTCTTAGTGCCAGAAAATCTGTTATGAGCGGTGTTTTTTTTTTCAACTTTTTGAAACGTTATTTTCATGAAAAGATTTTTGAAATGTTTTAAATACAGTAGTTGAAGAATAAATGTTGATTATATTATAATAATTAATGACTAATGAATAAAATAAAAACAATAGAGACAAATTGCAATAGTATATAATAATTTAGTCGTTAACGAATTTCGCTGCAATTTGAACTCTAAAGACTTGGGGGGCACGTACACGTCTACTACTTAAACACGATTAATCAACAGACCTGAAATGGTCTGTTTGTCGAAACTGTCTGGAAACAAACAGTTGAAGCTATTTCAGACGAATATAAATATGTTAACGCTAAAAACTAAAAATTATTATCCTGCACGTCCAATTTTAAATCGATAAAACGGATTTATCCTAATGTGACATTCGTATTTTATTTACGTTTTCTCGTTTTAAATGTTTTCGTGCCGTATCGTGTGTCAAATAACGAGCCGAGTCGATTTGAATAAAAAAATCCGTGTCATTTTGCATAATAATGCAATGACGTCGCGTTACGAGACACTTTTTTTGGTGAACACTTCGTTAGAATCATATCATAAAATGGATGCGATTTCAGCCCGGTTCCATGAAGCTCAACATTTTAAATACCCTGCAGCAGCCGCTTGTATTCGTGTATATTATTGACAATTATTCGATCCGTATACGGTTTGGTATATTACAATAATATGCAGATTGCCGGTTCCTATATAGCTGCAGGTATTTTATTATTTTTCACCTCCGGTCTGTCGTTTTTCCTCGGTATCGTGATATCTTATAAAACACAATACAGTATATATCCAGCGCGGTCCAACCTCCTCTGCCGTACCGACCATATACCTCACATTATTATTATTGACACGCGAGGAGTATAATATTTATATTATATATTATTATGTTTACGAAATATGTATAGGTACCTCGCGCACACACACACACACACACGCTCGCACCGCACACATATATTAGTATATATTATTACAATATATTTTATATCGTAGGCTATTATAATAAATCCTCCGCCGGGGAATCGTCGCGGGATTTTTGTTCTTAAAATATGGGTCACACCCGGGCGTGGCGGCGCTAACGAGTTTAGGGAAATGAGCTCCTCCGGGTTTTCGCGCGCCGTACACGTTTAAATGAACAATATGTAAAATACATGTTAATGAACGCGCGTGCTTACACTCACACACATACACATATAATATACATGGCTGGTATAACACCAAACGAAGGTTATAATATATATATATATATTATGTATATTATGCGTGTGTGTGTGTGTGTGTTTATACGTATATTATTATGCGACGACAGAGTGCCGTCTTTGCGTCGTCGGACTTCAGGTGTACCCGCACACGTATATAATATGATATACATATGTATATGTATCATGTACATATACTTATATGTAAAGGTAACTAATCAAATACATTACGCGCGATCGAGACCATATACGTTATAGGTACCGTATACGATATATAATTTGGTTAGTATATGTGCGCACTAACCAACCTCTACTATGCATGTGTGTGTATATATGTATAGCCTCCACCGATCCGCTTTGCGGTAAAGCTCATTTTAAATTCTACTCTGGATTACGTATATTATGAGCGTAATAATAATATGACGATAATAATAATAATACACATATCGATGTCCCCGGCGATGAAGGTCGTCGTAACACCATCTTTACAACTGTTCGGCGGGACATCTGTTTAAAGTTCGCCGATAAGCCTAATATAAAGGCTTTGTGTTTTGTTTGGTATACAACCTCCAGAAAAACTGCTAAAACTACTGATAAAACGTCATCAGAGAGAAAACTGAAAATCAATTTTTTTTTTTTTTAATCTAGTCGTGTCCTTCATACGATTTTCCCCTCCTTCCGAAAAAAGACTCCCGCCCAAGCATCCATAAAAACCATCGACAAAAACACAAAGTCCTTGTCATATTTTCCATTATGAATATTTTTGGTGGGAAATGGGTACATACTTAGAATAGTTTCTATTAGTACGATTGGTAAATATTTGGACTGAAGAAAAACATTTTAATTTTCTATAAACTTCTTTGGCCAACGGTAACCACTTGCTATAATTTTCAAAAAATAATAGAAAAACAATACATATAGGAACCTAGCTTTTTACCGTCGATCTATGTATATCTGTATATTTTGTGTACAGATATTATACATAATATAAAAAAAACCAAAATATATTTTTAATATTTTATGTTATGAAGTCGTATAACAATGTTTTTTTCGAACTTTTATCATTTTTTTATTATGATGTATACTAATTTCTACTATCTATGTTCAAAAATGTTAGTCACCTGCTAGCCGATAATAATTATTGGGTACATCCGACATCGCCTATGCTCTTTGTACGCATATTGTTTCGTTCGGATTTGCAAAACATAATACATCTATATACAAACTAAAACGTCAATTCAGAGCTCACGATGGTTTTTTTTTTTTTATTTCATCGGATTTCGTACCAGACTTTATTTATTGCGACGCGGATAATAATAAAAAATAAAACCGCGCGTTTTTACCGCCGACAATAATTATTCAATTATTCAATCGGCGCCGCGATTGGACAAAATAAAAACAGCAACAGTACATTATTATATCTGTGTCATCCGTACATGGTTATTTCTGTGCAAAGGGATTATTAATGTTCGGGCGGGAAAATTGTTTATCGTCAAGCGCGTGATAATCATCGCGGCCTGCGGATAATTGGTGTCGGGACCAGCGTATGATTTATGAGACAGTTACACCGTTGGCTTGTATATTTTTTTAGCCTAAAAAAAGTTTAAAAAATCTATCAAAAACAAAACTGTGTCGGCGAGGAGATTTAACGCGTATACACACATCACGCGCTAAACAAAACATCGGACACGTTGTAATGGACGACACCCCACTACAATAGTAAACAAGTTTCTAGGCATAAACTTCCCATCAATTTCCGTGCACTTATTTTCGCAACTAAAAAATCAATTGTACACGACGTCTTGTGTCAAATATTTAATATTTCAAAATGCTTAAAAGCTTTAGCTAGGTCGGTAAGAACCCGAGAAAACAGACAGCGATAATATTATATTATATTAGGCGGGTATCTATATTATATACTACAACGATGAGCGTTTCTTTCCCGGAAAACCCTTTTTGAGGAAGTAAAAGTACTTCAAAAGTTTTATATTACAATATATAAATAGTTATTTGTGCTTTTATCTTTTTCGGAGGCGTGTGTATTATAAAATATTTTTAAAAGGTTTGAAGTCAATTCAACCGTGTATATTTTATACTAACATAACTTTAATAAGTACCTATATTATTCCATTTAAATTTTAACTTATTATACACTGTATTTCGTACAATTATGTTCGAGTATTAAACCAATATAATAGGTGTATCATGTCAGTTGTCATTTTAATTACAACCAAACGAACAAGATGTTCAAGGCATACCTGATATACCAAATTTTTATCATTATTTTATTTCATGTACATTTTTTTAATTCCTAGGTATATTTATTTATTATTTTTTTTTTACGAAAGAGTTCTCAGTAAGGAAAAAATATCGTCAAATGGAAACAATCATACCCTCCGATGACCACCGATGACAGGCTAACTCTAAAAGTCGGACCATAACACTCACTGGGCATCCTGCACGTGGTCAGCGTACTGCAATATTGCTGTTTGTCATCGCATTGTTGCCACTTGCCAGCTGCTGTACACGATGCGTGTACATATAATTAACAAATAATGATTATCATAAAAATAACAACAATAATAATAGAAATCACGAGTAACTGTTACCGTCGTTCGACGTCCAAGTTCAATATTATTATTATTATTATTATTGATGTGGATATATCGCTGCTGACGGATCTTCGCCGGCCGGCTGTTTGCCACGGTCTAACGATTGATTGATTGTGTACGAAATGACGTGGTGGTTTTTCGTACGATTTCGCGAGGCCAGTGACGAAATGGTTTTCTGAAAATCGGCCCGGGGTGAACGGAAAAATAGCCGTGTACGCATAAATAATCATTTTACGTTCATCCACATTCAAATCCACTCCCCCCCCCAACCACCACCGCGACAGTAATAATAATAATATGTAACAATAATGCACTGTCGGAAATGCATATAACACAACAGTAATATATACAGGGCTGGCCAGGGTGCAGTTTTCCCTCGTTTATCCTTACCGTTTGACCGTGAAAAAGCCACGGGACACCCTGTATATACATACGACGTCATGGGTCGTCGCAGGAGCTACGGTGTCCGTCAAACACTATAATTTTTATGCGTATAGGGTGGAAAATGCAAAGTCATCCCCCGAAGTCTGGTTTTCACTCGATATCACCGCGTGCAATATCCGTATACCTTATATTATATTCTATACCACTTTATGAGCTACCCTTAGAGTCATCCGCGGTTCTCCGTGACTCATGCACCGCAATGACTGTCAGATTTTCAACCCTCTCCCAAGTCGCCGCAAACGTCGAAAATTATACGCACGTGTAAATATTATAAAATTACGTTTTACGATTATTAACGACCACGGAAAACAAACAAAATAATTACCAGAAATTAACCGTAAATTAATTTCAAAAATCGTATAGACCGAACAGATAATATAATTATATG